ATCGCGGCTTTTTTCTTTTTTTCTTTTTTTTCTTGGGGCGGCAGAAATGCTGGAGCCGGCCCTGAGTGCAAGCCATAGCGTGGATGCAGATATTGGTACAAAGGCACCTTTTACCAGAATAGTTTATTCCCCTTCCTGTACAAGGCTAGCTATACCAGTATAAAGCACCTTTATACCAATATAACTGCATCCTTTTGGTGGGGAAGAGGGGGTGGTTGTACTGCTTTAACATTACTGGTATGGTTAAAGTGCTACCACTTTCTAGTGTAGACAAGGGTTAGGTGAATTAGGGCCAGATCCTTCTCTTCAAGGCAGTGGAGGGTGCTTAGCTGATACAGAGGGTCCTCAGCACCCTGCAGAAATACAGCCTTATTGTGGCTTTGAAAATACCCCCTCCCAGCTCTCTGTCCTCTCCCCCACCCCCACCCCCCACCCCCCCCCACACACTTAATTTAAAAAGAGGCCTTTAGGAAGATTCATGGCAAAACCATTCAGTAACTCTGGTGCTCTACAAAGTGGGGCCCCACTCCTGCAGAGAGACATGAGCAAGCAAACCCTCATGCCTGTGCAAAACTCCGTTGACTAAAAGGCCTTTCGTAGCAGCCATTTGAAAGTCAAGTCAGTAACACTAGTGACTTGTAGCCACGGTGAATACGTTTTGGGGTATGCTGGTAATTTTTCATCTGTCTCTGCCTTCCCTCCTCATTTGTGCCCTAAGATGCATCCTATGCTCTTGCAAGCTAACTTGCAATATTCATTTTGTTCAGTGGGCTTTTAGACATTAATTTTAATTTCAAGAGTGTTAAACCCAAATAAATTAATAGCTTTCTTGGGGTTTTTGTGGGGCGGAAGGGAGAGGGGAGTGAAGAAAAGGAAGAGATCAGCGCTCAAACAAGGATCTTCAAGAGCAGTGATTCTAGGCCAGCATGGAATAAACATTTTATGAAGCATCTTTGGCCACGTATTAATGTCGTCATATCTTTGTTACGGAAAAATAGATAAGTAATGCCTTTTATTGTGATTCATCGAAGTAGATATTTTGCTGTCAGCTAGAAGAGCTAATTCATTGGCTGTATAAAGTAGCAGAAGTTACAGACAACTGGATTCCACCCGAACCAGACGTTGAAAGTGTGAAGACCTCCCTACATCGTTACCTGGTAACTATATTTGCTGATCTTTTTCTTTTCTCCCTAGACAAGTATTTTAGTAGGAAATATCGCATAAAACTTTTAAGGGGTGTGTTTCAGAGTAGCAGCCGTGTTAGTCTGTATCCGCAAAAAGAACAGGAGTACTTATGGCACCTTAGAGACTAACATTTGTTAGTCTCCTGTTCTTTTTAAGGGATGTGGTGTTTTGGGGAGGGGTGGGGGGGAAGACTCAGGGTTGGCCTTGGGTGAGTTGTTGGGTGTTAGTCTGGGAGACCTGTGTTCAGTTTGTGCTCTGTCACAGACTTCCTAGGTGACCTTGGGCAAGTCACTCAGCCTTTTTGTACCTCAGTTCCTCATCTGTCAGATAAGGATAATACCACTGCCCCACCTCACAGGGCTGTTCTGAGGATAAATATATGAAAGATTGGAGATGCTCAGGTACTACACTAATGGAGGCCATGTAAGTACCTAAGATAGATGGCTGCTCCTATTGATTTCAGTGGGAGAAGAGTTAGGCCAGTGCTGGGAGCACTCCGCATACTTCAGTAGTGTGTGTTCTGAAACAAGGGCGGGAGGTTATCTTGGTCAGTGTGAGAGCGTCACGCAGCTCTAACTCTTTTTTTATTTAGACGTTCTCTATGTGGTTGGGGGAAGGAACCTTATTTTCCATTGTTGTATTTTATTAACATCCTCTATTACTTCTCCTTGATATGTTCTTTAGTTACTTGCTGTATCTTACTGCACAAAGAGGTGGGCCCTGGCCATTTGGGGACAGTATCTGCACTACCATTCTGTTCTCCTCTCAGAGATGTGCTGTACTCAGAGCCCTAGAATATCCACCCCGGGCGTGGGGTCAGCCCCACAGCTCACCCAGAGTCCGTTTGAGGGTGTTAAGTGGTGCATAGGCCATTTTACCCCTTCTAAATAAGCCAAGTGTCAGATTAGACTCACCACTGGCGTGCTCCCCCATGGCTGGGTATGACATCTCGGGCTCTTCTCCTCTAGCACCTCCGGATGACAGCTGAGCCCTTCCAGCCCTGCAGTGCTCTGCCTCTCCTCAGGACATGCCCCTCCAGCCAGGCCACGTTTAGTTCCCTCCCTGCCCCTTCCAGGGTAAACAAAGCGTCCAATAAACTAAACTCAAATAAACATAACTTTCCGTATTCCGCTGCAGGCTCTTCGCCCCTTTCTGGGCTCTGCAAGGTTGTTGTCCTCCTAACATGCAGAGTGATACCTCCCAGGGCTTTCTCCTGGTTGGCCCAGTTCCACACTCAGTAGTCCTCCTCCCCCTTGTGTCAGGGTGTTTCCATACCACCCATCCCTGAGGCTGATCAGGGAACAAGGCATCTCTCTGGGTTCCACTGCTGCCTCACTGCCTTCCTGGACTTCTGCCTTCCTTGGCCTTCCTGCAGCACCACCCCAGGCTCATTGTACCTCTGCTGCTCAAGGCTTTTCGTCCACTCTCTAGCAACCAGAGAGGGACTGAGGTATTCTACGAGTTAGAAGTTAGTATAACTTTTTTCTTTGTATCTTTTTAGGGCAGTGAGCACATGCTACACGCAATATTCCACTTGTGTTGGCATGTGATGAGACATCAGAGCGGTAGAATGAACGGACCGTTACTAGTCATAATCCTTTTTAGTTACCTTTGGTTACCTGTGGAGGGGCTTGTTCATTTTCTCCTCCCCAGGGGAGATGCCCAGGACTCTGCGCTCCCAGGTTTAGCGTGTAGCTCTCAGGGTGGTGGCAGAACTCGAGTCTAGTTCTGCTCTGCCAAGGAGTCGCTGCGTGGCCTTGGGGCACATCACCTGAGCTCCGTCTGTTCTTCCCTCTCTAAAGTGGGGAGGATAATACTTACCCGTCTACCTCCCAAGGGTGACTGTGAAGATTACGGTGGGGCCTAAAGTGCTTGGAATATGGAAGGTACCCTATAGCTCAGCAAGAGTGATGCGCAGGGCTGATCTATAAGGCTGCATTTACCCTTTGCAATGGAAATTGTGTGAGTAGATTTCCTGGGATGAGTAGGTCCAAGTCAGAGCCTTCTGTCTTAGGCTTCTCTATCTGATCCAGAGTCAAACCACAAGATCCAAGCACCCCCAAAAACTAAGGGAAAATTCATATCCAGGGGACACCTTTGGGCCCATCTCTACCCAAAACACCAAGCATATCACACCTCCAAAATGGCTGCTTCCCACAGGCCAGGAGATCAGGAATATTGAGGTCCTTTCGATCATAGGTCTCCCTCCAGGCAGCATGATGCAAGCAGCTAGTGGTACATTTCTATCCTGGTATACAGTCCACAAAACACTTGTAAAACCAAAACCTGTTTTCTTCGCAGCAATTCAAGAAAGATGTAGCTGATCACCAGACGCTGACAGAGAGTGTGTTACAAAGGGGTGAAACCCTCCTGAAATGCATGGTGTCGAATTCACCAGGTAAGGGGACTTTCTTTTGGACGGGATGTGGAGAACGTCTCTTTGCGTGAGACGACAAAACCTGCAAGGGGTCAACATCCAGCTTGAGATTCATGTCCTGAGCTACGCTTTGTGTGGGGAAGAGATTCGGCAATCTTCTCAAAATTAGTGGGAGCTTTGAAGAGAAGTGGCTGATAATAACTTGGAACAGGGCTGTTTATCAGCGAGCTCTAGGGGGAGGGTAATGAGAGCTTTTTACTTAGTCTGGGGACTAAAGTCTGCCCTTGAAGATGCAGGTCTAAGGTGAAGGTGTAAGTGCTGGTGAAATCCATGGCAAGTCAATCTGAGAGCTGCGTTTGGCCCCTCAGCTGCAGTTCAGACTCCAATTGATGGAAGACTATTCTAGTTATTTGTCTCCATTTAAGCCATCATTTACAGGCTAGTTTAGAGCTGACAGTTTTTTTAAACTAGTGTCAAAACCTCCCCATGCCACCTCTGCTCCACCTCAAATCAGAAGGCATTTGTCAAAAGATACGTCTTGGATATTTAATGGGAGAGCCACGTATTTATGCTTCTCTCCTGTACCTCTGTATAGTTGTCTCTCGAACACGCTACTTGCCAACTTCGCCTCCAGCCGTTACTCAGTTGGAGAAGTTACCGCACAGCAACGCCCCTTCCTGTCTTGAAGTTTGCTGGTAACAGACAGTAGCAGAGCTTGATTTCTTCTGTAATGATAAGGTCACAGGGTTGGCCGCTCTCTTTTCCCTTCTCTAGACTGCTTCTGCGCCTTCCTCTCCTCTAATAGCATTGGCAGATAGTGCAGCCGAGCTGCTCCAGGCATGGAGCGCTCTTTGCCCTTCCCCTAATGCATGATAGCAGCAGCAGGAGACATCATAGTTTTGGTTCTGCCTCCGTTTCCATTTCAATGCTTCGGTTTTTGTATTAAGGATTTGATAACCCTGATGTGGCAAACTCCCCGTGGATTGTGGTGTAAATCTTGTGCTGGGAAGGGACCATTTAACATGAGTAGGAGGAGACAGAGAGGGCTTTAAGCCTCCATTGCACCCTTCGAATTCTAAACGTGGCCCCTGGTGCACCTTAGAGCTACAGCACCTGAGTCTGTGTTAAGTAAGGACTTGTTTGAATAGACACCTGTGGGCCACTCCAGCAGCATAGAATAGCTGGAGCGTGCCCCTAGGGGCTGTGCACGAGGGCAGCCTAGTGCCTGTGGTGGCAGGAGAACACCCCTGTGTCAGGTGGATTTCCCTGGTGGGGAGACACACCTGAGGTCACACTCTTTAAGCTGCCGGAGCTGTCAGGGGCCAGATCAGGACCCTTTTCTTTGATCGCACGTTGATTAGATATGGAGAGAGAGAGAGAGAGACTAGTTGTTTTTTAAAGTCAACTTGTGTTGGAGCTATCTTGGCTCCAGACAAAGGCTTGGGGGAGAGAAGGGGGCTACTTGGTTGCTATAAGGAGGATCTAGTAGCCGCTGCATCATCCACTTTCCTGTGGAATAGAAGTCAGGGTGTGTAAGCCTTCAGGAGCTTTGGTTTGGGATTCTATTTTCTATTGGTTTGTTTTTGTAAAACTTTGCACTTTTAAAACTTTAATATGGGGGGGGTGCACTGAGTAGAGCGCCATCAGCTGTGCCCACAGACATGTATGTGAATAGATCTTTGAAAAATCCTCCACTGCCAGGGGGAATGAAATCTAGCTGGAACTTTGTTCAAAGAGATTTAAGTTTTTAAAATGATCTGACTGCATGCACAGTTACCGTATGTGTATCTCTAGACCTGGGGGAGGTGTCAACTTGGGGGTCCCCAAACTTTTTTCTATTATAACATTGCATTGTGGTATTGAAAAGGCGGCAAACCACTGCACTACAGGCAGCATTTCTAGAAATGCATGCTTAGATTTGCATTACAAATAAATCTGATAAAATGTAGATGGAACACTCCCGTCTGCTTTCTGTGTTGGCTTCACTATGTAGAAGTTCCATGGCAATACAAATGATACTCTTACTTGTTAGTTTTAAAGGACACCCTTGGATTGATTGCAAAACAATCAGAAGAACTTGAAAGCCATGCAGAACGTTTGTATGAATCGGTTTTGGCAGCTACGGATACCATTGGGGGTGACAGCCTGATAAAGGACAGTGACACGCAACAAACGGTTGCTGAGGCAAAAGAAGCCAAGTGGGTAAGCAAAGGACTAAAATGTGAAAGAATATCCCTTCTTGCATTGGTCATTTTGACATGGTGATACTCAGGATAAACATTTGAATTAGCCCATTCCGGAAATCAGACTTATCTGTGTGATTAAAGACCACGTTATTTTGGAAATTCCAAAACCTTAGACCCAGCCCCAAAGGGGACTCCGAAGTGCGAAATCACGAAGGGTCCTGCACTCTTTTGCTGAAGGGAATGCAGCAAATGAGAGGGGGAAAGGTGGCAAAACTTGCCATTGACACAAGATCAAGATTTAACAAGTAGGTGAGTGGGCAGCAGAATGCCGCAGATGAAGTTCACTGCCGACAAATGAAAGGTGATGTATGCTGGAAGGAGTAATGTCAGCTATCTGTATGCTGGAGGCTAAGCTAATGAAACCACTTAGCAAAAAGACTTGGGCATGCTCTCAATGAAACCTCTGCTCAATGTGTAATGACAGTTAAAAAAGTAAACAGTGGCAGTATGTGTAACGTATGGGATAGAAAATATTGTCATGCCATTCTATAAATTAGTGGTCCACCCTAAACCAGAATACTGTGTTTCTCAAACAACATACTGGCATCAGACATAGAAATAGTTCAGAGGTAAATGACAATATTGATTACAAGCATGGAGAGACTTCTATGTGAGAAGAGATGGAGAAGATTTGGGATTGTTTTTGTTTAGAGAAGGGACCAGTAAAAGTGGATGTGTTAGAGAGGCACAAAAATGATTGGCTTAGAGAAATAAATCAGACGCTCTTGTGTGCCCTTCCTCATAAGACAATTAAATGTTCTCTTGTTCTTAACTTGAAAAATGACAGGTTTCAAAGTGATAAAAGCAAATAGTGTTCCACACAACACATAACCAACCTGCGGAACTCCTTGCCACAAGAATATCATAGAGGCCAATTATAGGCTTCAGAAAAATCATTAGACATTTCTGTGGGTAAAGAGAACATCCACAGTTACATTAGATCAGATGCCCAACATTTTAAGGCATAATTCAAAAACTAACAGATTGGAGCTAGGAACCTGTGGGCAGGTTGCTCCGTTATTGTCTGCCACAAGGTTTCTTGCACCTTTCTCTGAAGCACCAGATAGTGGTCATTGCCAGAGGCATGACATAGGACAGAATGGGTTACTGGTCTGAGCAGGAAGGGCAATTTCTATGTTTCTACATGTGGCCTTCATGAGTGGGGGCCACATGGCATCGTCCCTGGGGCTACCATGTGTTTAGTTTTGGGTGGTGAGGGAAAGCCACTACTACGTAAAGCATGCTCCTTCCCAAGCCTGGCCAGAAATCTGCTGGGAAAGACAGCAGAAGTTAGTGCTAGTCACGGGATCAGTAGCTCTCCCTTCCCAACATCTGCAGCCCTTGGAGGTTGGGGAGGGAAGGCTCAGGCACGACAGGGGTAGACGGTTGGGGCACAGCCCGTAGAAAGCTGTGTTCCTTGTGGGGAAGGCACAGAGGGGCCTGAGAGCTGCTTTGTCCTTGCGAATTACCCAACTTCCACAGGCTTAAAGCCTGACTTAACCATGGGTTTTGGACTGTGCCGAGTTAGAGCAGCTGCTACAGGCCCTCACCGGTGGAGGGGAGAATGTGTTAGATTCTCAAGGGATTTCAAACTACTGTTTCCTATTGGGGTGGCAAAGTAAAGCGTCACCACCAGCAAGCAGCTTATGCTATGAAACATTGAGGTCTTTTGCTGTGGGCAGTATTGCCAAAAGATCAGCGCTGGACAATCAAGAAGTATTTTGTTTAGTTTACAGGGACTTGGATTCATTCATATATATAATGTTCTCACTGTAAGACTTGTGAGCTATCCTTGTTCTGTAGGACTTGGTGTTTAAACAAGCCCTACCCATGACACTTGCGGGTAGAACACTGAAATTTAAACTCATGAGACTTTTACCTCACAAACATTAAAAATACGTGAGATGACTTATAGGCATTGAGCTTCAGAGTCTCTGCATAGGCTTTAGCGTGCAGATACGCTCTGGAACAGCTAGCGAACGTGGTATCCTCTCCCAGTCATCTCCCTGGTAGTTATGAAATTCTTTGCCTCTTCCAATATAGTGTCCAACAGATCGTTATCTTTATAGAATTAACCCTGCCAAGGGCGCAGGGAGGTTGAGGTCTTAGCAGCGTGCGAGAGATGCTGGCCAGTGGCTCCTTGTCCTGGGAAGTATCATGGTTTTCCCTCTGGAAGATGCATTTTTTTCATGAGTCAAGCAGGATGCATTTTTTTCATGAGTCAAGTCAGTTTATAGGTTGCTGGCCCGGACTCAGGAAAGCTTGGTTCCATTCCCAGCTCTGACAATGACTTGCTGTGTGACCTTGGGCAAATCACTGTGCCTTAGTTAGCTCTTTGGAATAAGGACTGGCTTTACTAGGTGTTTGTACGTTGCCTAGCACAACATGTCCTGATCTTGACTTTTACCAGCTGCACCTCTATGTGTTACTGTAATGGAGCATGACAAGAGTGCCCAAGATTTCAGAGAACTATTGATTAAACTGGTCCAATCTTGCAGTCAAGACTCGCACTGAGCTGTGCCTGAGTCAGGCTGCAGGATTTGGTCCAGAGTGAATGAGAGGATTAAGCCACTTCACTGTTACAATAACACGGGCTGCCAAAGCTGTGAACCAGAGGGAGCTGCCCAACGCTTGTACCTAGGAGACCATAACCCAAAGCCAGCACAAATGACTTGACGTTTAAAAATGAAGCATTAGCGGCTAGCATAGAGGGATTTGAACAATAGATAATAGGCTCTCTAGCTTGGCAGCAGTACACAACTTTCTCTAGGGGACTCTTCCTTTGCCTACATCCTATGTGTTTTCTTCTCCATCACCACTTTATGCTAACCGAATGGGATAAACATTCACAGCAGCGTATGGGGTGTAGCCTTGTGACTCCTGCTGTTGTATGGCCAAAACTGTGTTAAACACCCCACCCCAAGAGCCATTCAGTTCATTTGTTTAACCAAATCCACGCAGCCTGGTGGGATTGTCTCCTTGTTATTGGTCCTGGTTGTTAACAAGGCTAGTGGGTCTGAGCAGAATTCCTGCTATTTTTGTGGCCTTCTACTGTTCCTGTGTGAGGATGTGCCATCTCCTCAGGAATAAGAAGGGAGAAGCATAACAGGAGTGGAGAATATTTACCAGCTGGGAGAAAGGGAGATGCAGCAGCCCCTGGTAAAGAGACGACGTTAGGGCTACACTTGACTTTTACCAGCTCTGCCCAATTTAAAGGGCCACACTAGGAGAAAAGTTTCTGTGGCCTTGACTCAGTAGAGCATTTCTCTTGACTTCAGTGGCACTTAAATGCTGTAAGAGGGTAACCCTGCAATGGGTGGAGTGGGAGGAACCAAGTATTCCCCAAAACAGTGTGGTGTCTCCCACCCCTACATCACACCATGCTTGTTTCTGCTTTAGTTCATGTGCTATTTCCACAAACTAAGTTCTATGGCTACGAGAGCGTTTAACCCTATTTTGCCCCCTCTGTGGTGTGTGGGAAAGGGGAAGCGGGGGGAGGTAATTATTGTACCCTTCCCTAAAACTTGACAAGTGTCCTTTTTAACAGCCTTGAAGCATTAGAAGTGCGGCTTGCTGCATGTTGCATAACAAACCCCTTGTGTGCTGGTGGGGTTGTTGCTTGCAGTGCTCACACTAGGAGTCCTAAAATTATATATTATTAAATCCTTAGGAGATTTAACTTAAATCCTTCCCTGGCGACTTTCAGTAAATGCTTGGAATCCAGCGTTTCAGTGTCTGTCGGTGCTAGGACTCTGAGGTAAAAAGTGATGACAGCAAACACACCTCTTCTCCCAGGGTACATGGACAATTGAATTTTTAGTCGGGTTTTAAGAGGTATTCACGAACACAGTTGTCCATTCTAGAGCTGGAAGGACAAACACACATTTGTTGCTAGTCCAGTTTAACCATGCTGCGGCGTAGGGAACAAACCTTTGTGTCTTATCTAATCTAGAATTTACATGGTTTAAGATGACTGACAATTGAGATGCAGGTTTTCCCTTGGGGCAGTGTTTACTTTGTGAGGTGAACAGCAGAACTGTGCTGGAAGCAAAGAGCTGGCAGAAGTGCGGTGTCGGTGAGAAACTTTCCTCCACTTGGTTTTCTGATCCTGAGCAGGCTTCCCTGTTCAATGTTTTTCAGCAACCTGCTCCCTCCTGCCCTGGGAGGAGGATGGCAGTTCTGGGGCAGAGGGCTGGGTGAGAAGGGCTTTCTTAAAGCTCTTGGCAACAGTGGGCATTCCAATCTAGTTGGCTATAGTTGGGGCTAGACAACCATTTTGCTCACCCAGCAAGAGGAAATTCAAACCCAATCAAAAGCACTTGCTCCCCCTCTTCCCAGTCTCTCAGAGCCCTGGAGTGTCAGGTGGCAATAGACGGCTCCGTCTGCCTGATCTAAACCTGGGCGGAATGGGGGACAAAAGATGGAGAAAGGCCATTTCATTTTGGGTACCTGGCCCATATCGCTCTGAGGGTGGGCCTCTGATGGATGGAGACGGCTGGGGGAGGGAAGGGGGCTCTAATCCACCTAAAGAAATCCCTGTAGCCTGCTGCAGGGCCCTTGTTCTGTGGAGTTTGGAGGGGAGGAAGGAGGAGGCCTGGTTACTCCTCACACTCATTGTTGATGACCGCTACCAGAGCCGGCTTACATGGGAATCAAGTGAGGAGTAAAGACACTCTGTTGCCCCTCTCTCCTCCCCAATACTCACTCTTCCCCAGGTGTCTGGACTGCCTTGGCCCTGGTGCCTCCCACATGGAACAGGCCTCCTAGCTGGGCGGAGAGGAGCCTGTCGTCTGGGTGCACAAGGTAGCAGAAGACGAGCTGAGCGAAGGCGGCTTGGAAGGAGAGCTCTGGTGGATGTCAGAAGCCTAGCCCAGCCAGTTGTAGGGGGCAGAGCTGTATGCACCAGTGTGGATAACAGGACTCTGTTTTGGGATAGACCCTGATGTTCTGGAAACTCTCCAGCTCCTGGAAAACGTGGTTCTTTAGATAGTTCTTGTAGCCAGACAGCTGATATTGCTTAGGCCATGTCTACACTTGGAGCACTTTGCTGATATATCTGCATTTACACTTAGGGTCTTTTGCCAGCACAGTTATCAGTCAGGGATCCCCCTTCTTCACACCCCTGACTGACACATCTATACCAGCAGATGTTTGTAGGGTAGACGTGGATTTAGGTGGAAGAACAGGTTGCCTCTAGGGAACAGAAGCATGACGCATGGACTTGGCTGATCTAGCAGCTAAAGAGTGAGTAACATTTTGGAGAAGAGGGACCTCAGACCAACATGAAAAGATTTGGTCTAACATTTCTAGAAATCTTTGATAACTCCCTAGTGGGCAGATACTGAGATGTTGCTCTTCTTTCCCCTCGCTGCCCCCTTTTCTCTCCTTTGTTTTTCCATCCTCCTGCCTTGCTTGCTCTTTTTCTTTACCTTCATTAGCTCTCTTCTTGGTGCTTTTATGTCTATCGAAACATTTGACCTGTGTGTATGCCACTGACCTAAAATTATGATCAGTTTTTTGAGCAGGAGGATTGAATCTATACAGTGAACTGAAGGAAATAAGTTTTCTAGACCTATTGAGCAATTCTGAGACACAGAAGTGGCATTGCTGAAATATACTGTATGTGCATATGCTTATAATGCAAATGATTGATTGCCAAAACATACCCAGTCCAGTAATCTGTCAGTACTGTTCTTTTTCTTCTTCTCTGCTGTTCTCCCCTTATCGGTTTTTTTTTTTTTTTTGGGGGGGGGGGATTTCCCCCCCCCTCCCCCCGAGTAAAATATATAAATTAATACGGAGCAGCATCTCAGATTTCTGAGCAGGGAGGTCAGGAGGTCTTCTTGCAAAAGGCACAGAAATGAGACTGAGAGATGAATGGATGTTGAGGCTGCCCTTATTGGCAGAACGTTGTTGTTCCAAATGACACTCAGAATAAATTGGGCTCCAATTATGAGGCTCCAAACGTGGTAGCTTCTTTGTGTGGGTGTAGGTGGTACCTGTCTAAAACAATCCCAGCCTCTTCAGTACATCGACATCTCAGCCTTAAACTGTAGAGGATCGAGTCAGCATGATCTTGTGGTTAAGGCACTAGCCTGAGACTTCTTGTAGGATCTTGGGCAAGTCGCACTTGCCCTGTGCCACAGTTCCCCATCTGTAAAAGAGGGTTCTTGATCTTGCCTACTCTTTGGGGCAGAGACTTTCATTCCATGTGTTTGTGCAGTGCCTAGCACAGTGGAGCCCCAGTTTCAGTTGGGACTACTTGGGGTATGTCTACACTGCACACTAAGCCTGGTCTCCAACTCAGGTTTGAGCCCAAGCCCCCTTCCGTCTACACACAAATCAGTCTGATTCGGGTCAGGAAGAACTCAAGAGCCGAGTCCTAGGACCCTACTAAGGGAGGGTATGTCACGGCCTGAGTCCCACTGAGATTTGGGTCCAAGCCCTTTCACTTCAGTGTTTGGGACAGCTCAAGCTGCAGATGTGAGTCAGAAGGTTGGTGTGGACAGTATGGACTCGTTAGCACAACTGTAAGGTCTGGGTCCAGCAATGGTAAAACCTAGGTTTACAATGCAGTGTGGATGCTCAAGTGCTGGCTTGGGAACCACAAGCCCAGGTCCCGGATCTGGGTTTACAATGCATTTTGGACATACCCTCGGTGCTGCTCTGATGCACGTAATACTACTATCGTAGTCAGTTGATGCCTGAATTTCACACACATGGCTCTGAATCATTTGCCTTCAGTGACATGCTTCAAGCTGTTTTCTTTGCAACACAGTATGGTGACAGTCATGCTAAGAGATGCATTTCTTTAGCTACTGACAACTCAGCTTTTAATCTATAAGAAGATATCTAACCTAACCTACTTTTGCTGTTTCCTTTTCAACTTTAGTTGCAAACAGGAACTTGCTTCCTTGAAAGCTTTTAGGGAACAAGAACTTAGCAAGGAACAAGCGATAAAAGTATAACACTTTATTCTTCAAAGATGTACCCAGAGATTATTACGCAATACAAACATGGCTTTTCTTTACCTGGACTGCAGCCAGCCAGTGGTAATTAGCTCTCTTTATATTTCAGGTAATACCTCTAGCAGAGATGGAACTTGTCAGCCAGTCTTTGGAGGCATGAAGGATGAGATGCAGCAAGGCACTCTGAGCAATAACATTTTCAACTTTTATAGAAATGTCAAAGTGAAATTGATTACTAAGTACAGTGCAACTTGGCAATACTGGGATGCTTTTCACCAGTTTGTGAAGTAAGAGCTGTTGGTTACTGTGTTTTTATTTAAACTAGTCCTGCAGTTTAAGTTGTTGTTGTTGTAGCAGGTATACAGGCGCTTTTCAAACAAGCGCTCACGGATATTTTCAGTTGCTTTTCCCTTTAGAAGTTGCTTGTTCCATTTAACAGTGTGTAATTGTCAGGAACCACCACCCTTTTAAAAGGAGTATTCCAAACACAGACCCCACATAACTTGTGATACTTCATTTCAAGTAAAGCTGTGTGGTTTATTTTATTGTTGCATTTTTTTTTTTACTTTAAAATTTGGCTCTGGGATTTACTGATAGTAGGACTCTCTTCAGCTCTCCTGTCTCTCAGGATCATACTAAAACACTCTAGTTCCTATTTCTGTCATCAACCACTGAAGCAGATTATGTGCACATTCAAATGTAGTTTAAGTGCGTTATGTCTGATGCAAAAAGGTCAAAAGCCCTTTGCTAAGTCATACTTAGTTCAATATGCCAAAAGCTTTGAGTAGTTCTTCCAGATCTGCTAATCTTCTTAATGCAAATTGATGTTTATAAAACACCATGACAGAGAGGGCTAGTGTCATAGCTGTTAATTAACCAACCATTGCACTGATTTCCCTTTAGCAACTTATGATGCTTTTCTCTCCTTTTCTTTGAAAGCAGCAATGGTTGATGATAGTTAATTGAAGTAAATAAAAAGTTGACTCATCTAGTAAGGGGGAGTGCAGGGGGAGAACGTATGCCCTACAGGACACTTATTGACATTTTTCTAGTGCATCACTATCGTATGGAGATGCTTTTCCCCTCCTTCCACTGTAACTGGCTGTTGAGAACTAAGCTACCTGCAAATGGTGAGAGGCCCCAAGGGGCAAAAGACCCCTGCAGTAGAGCTGGACTGGGTGGAAATAGAGGTCCAGAGCAAGGGAGAACCTGGCAAGGGAGTCAGATGGCATGGGGGACAGGGCCCTTGGGATCATGAGACCCTGAGCAAGGACCTGGATTGCCTGGGGGTGCTAGGCCAGAGGGATGATGGAGGGTGCTGAAGCACTGGAATGGGTTACCTAGGGTGGTGGTGGAAGCTCCTTCCTTAGAGGTTTTTAAGGTCAGGCTTGATGAAGCCCTGGCTGGGATGATTTAGTTGGGGTTGGTCCTGCTTTGAGCAGGGGGTTGGACTAGATGACCTCCTGAGGTCCCTTCCAGCCCTGATAGCCTATGATTCTATGTATATTCAAAAACAATGTTTCTCTGAGGCTGCTTAGGTGCACTGTCCCATGAAATAGTCCCGTTTATCAACTTTACTGAGCTAACATGGAATTGACAAGAAGCAGGTGCAGACATCAAGTAATCCTTATGCTACTCTTGCCCGTGGCATGAAGAAGTGAAGAGGATGGCTCGTGGGGACTACGTTGAATGATGTGACTACAGATCTTTTCCATTTCCCGATAAGAGGAGAATACTTTAAAAATATGAAAGAAAACCAATGTAAGGGTAGAGTTTGTGCTATGCCCCCTAAGCACAGCCCAAGCAGCAAGGAGGGTGGATGGTGGATTTAAGCTGCTTTTGCTTTACCTGGATTCTGGGCTAGGGTTCTCCAGCATAAGTTAAAGCATCCTCAGGGCCTGTTCAAACTATAACTCTCTCCCTATAGCTGTCTACATGCTGATCTCTAGGAGCATGGCTGCCCCTTGCAGCCCCTGATAAACAGCTGGTGGAGTATGATGGGGTAGGCCCAGAAGCACCCCACAAGAATG